GGTAACCTCATTGAACAAGTGGACAAGGGAAATGCTAAAAAGCACAAGTGTGGATCAGGTTGGCAACCATTATTTTCCGAGCTGGAAGACCCGATCTGTGAATGGGTTGTTGACAGGAGAGCAAAGGCTTTGGTTGTGAATAGGGCTCAGATTCAAGAATTTGCCTTTGCAATGGCACCATAGTTTGACATAGCCCTCAAAGACTTCAAAGCATCACAACACTGGCTGGATAACTTCCTTCAGTGAAGTGAACTGTCTTTAAGAAGATCTACAAAATTGTTTAGGTTGGAAGATACTCAAGTTATTAAGCGAGCACTTGCATTCAAGTCCTTTATTGATGATGCTGACTTCTCTAAATACAATCTTTCAACATTATAGCTATGGATGAAACTGCAGTGTTTATGGGCCAATCATCAAACAATTGAACAGCGGGGTACCTCCTTAGTGTACATTCCCTCCACTGCTTACGGAAGTACACGTGTTTCCTGTATTTTGGCAATTTGTCTGGATGGCACTAAAATCTCACCTTTAATCATTTCTAAGGGCAAGAAGGAAAAAACTGAACGTGTTTTGGGTATTTTTATTCTTGAAACTGAAAAAGCCTGGGCCACACAAGCAGTTATAAGGAAGTGGGTCGATTTAATGCCACTGCTTGTTATGTGAGGGAGCCAAAGAGGTCTGCCAGTCTGGGATGCAGCCAGCAATCACCGCACTAAAGATAAGAAGACATTTCTTCATGAAAGAAAAATAGATCAGATAATGATTCCCGCAGGAATGACGGCCTATCTCCAGACTCTTGATATTGCAATAAACAAACCATTCAAAGACAATTTGCGCATGGAAATTAATGACTACATTGAAAATAGAATGGAGAGAAATCAACCTGGAAACTTTGTGAAACCTAAACTGCAAGAAGTTGTGTCTTGAGTGAAGAATTAATGGGAGAAAATCACTGACAGTTGCATTGCAAATGCACTACAAGCAGGCTACCTTGACAAGAAGTACTCATTTAAAGACAGTGCTATTGCTAAACATGAGAGATTTGGTCCACTGATTCTGAAAGAAATGGAGTCACAAGAAATTCACCAGGAAATTTAAGAATTGGATTGTTATGATGATGTTCCAGAAGATGATGACATGATTGTCATTGAATAAGTGAGTAAATTTTTGATACTGTAGGATTCACAGTTTGTCTGGTTTGTATTGACAACTACCGTACTACCGTACCGTATACAGGTAATAAATTTCCTTTATTTTCATTTAACAATAAATGTGTAACGTATTCTTCTTCATGGAAAAATAAGACATCCCCTGAAAATAAGACCTAGCACATCTTTGGGAGCAAAAATTAATATAAGACAGTGTCTTATTTTCAGGGAAACAGGGTATTTACACAATCTTGATACTGTTATGCTGATTACTAATTGGCACTGTTTGGAATCAACCTCTCATCAAAGATAAGTAGAGATAAGTATAGTATAGGACAGAATGTAAATGTTTATAACCATGACAATAATGATATGGTTGCTAGAGGTTAGGTAGGCTTGGGAGTGAGAGGAGGAGGAAAAAGGAAAGAAGCACTTGAGCTTTCCTATTCTTACACAGTTTAAGAGGTGAGGGATAGTTGATTATATAAAATTGATGAGTCAAGAAATAGTGTGTTAAAGTAGCAATAAAATTTAAAAATATAATTTCAAGCTAGAGTAAAATTCTAACAAAAGTCAGGAAGAAAGGGGAGTGGAACTGGTGTGAGTTGTGTTAATTCCCCCACCCCCTCCCCAACAAAGAGGCATAAGTTACTGACTAATCCAGAAATAGAAGCATGAATACATCCCATAGAGTGAAGGTGTTTCCCACAGTAATAACCAGATCCAGAGACTGGTGGTTCTAAGAATGGGGCAGTAAAGACGGCTTTTCATCTCCCTTCCTATCCTTCTGTTCCATGTTTGCTTTCTTACAGCATACTGAATATACATAACTTTTTTTAAAGCCAAAAATGTAAACATTTATGTAGTTTGTAGCATCTATGAGTTGATACTAGTATTCAGTGGGCTTTAGTAGATAAACCTCACAAACATCAATCCTAGTTCACTTTAACAAATTTTATTTATTTCATAAATTGACACTACATTTCATTCTTCTTAAGATAGAAAAAATTACTAACTTGCTAATAAAAACTATGTAACATAAGCAAAAATTCTATATTTATTCTTAAATATGCATTTTTATATGATACCACCAAAAATACCTTGAAACCTTTAGGATTGACTCTAATGGGCAAGAGTCCAGGCTCAGTAAAGAAGTAACCCTCTGTCCAGATCAGTCCATGAAGCAGTTTTAATAACTGTCCTCCCAACTCCTCATATCAATCGTTATCCTGAATTCTTTTGGAAAGCCCAGCTACATCCTCTGCATATTCTAAAATCAAACTCTCTAGTGGGAGAGATATTCAAAGATTCAGCAATGACTAAGAAGCAAATGGTTAATGTGCCCTAGTTTAACAAAAAGTGGCCATTTATTTATTTACTAGAGGCCCAGTGCACAAAATTCGTGCAAGAGTAGGTCTTCCCCAGGCTGCAGGCACCGAATTCTCTCTGGCACCCAGGACCCAGGCTTCCTTCTAGATGCCAGCAGGCACCCAGGACTTGTGCTTCCCTTGCAGCCCCAGCTTCATCCAGAAGACAGTCTGGTCTAATTAGCATATTATGCTTTTATTATTATAGATTGGTTTGTCTTTTAAAAAGTGGACATTTAAAAAAAAATTCCCAAAGCCAAATCAGTATCCTATATAATAAAAGGGTAATACGCAAATTGACCCTCAGTCCAACACTCAAGATGGCCACCCCCATGTGGACACAAGATGGCTGCCACAAGATGGTCAGCAGGGGAGGGCAGTTGTGGGCAATCAGGCCAGAGGGGAGGGCAGTTAGGGGCTATCAGGCTGGCAGAGGAGCAGTTAGGCGCTGATCAAGCTGGCAGGGGAGTAATTTGGGGGTCATCAGGCTGGTAGGCAGAAGTGGTTAGAGGCAATCAGGCAGGCAGGCAGGTGAGCAGTTGGGAGCCAACAGTCCTGAATTATGAGAGGAATGTCCAATTGCCCGTTTAGTCCCAATCACACAGGGATTGGGCCTAAACGGGCAGTCGGACATCCCTTGAAGGGTCCCAGATTGGAGATGGTGCAGGCTGGCCTGAGGAACAACCCCACTCCCCTGTGCACAAATTTCGTGCACTGGGCCTCTAGTCAAGTATAATAGGTAGAAAGAGAAAGAGATTACCAAAAATATGATGAGGTTGGTGGTCAGAATCCAGGTGGAGAAAGAGGCCTTTTATATAAAAGTACATTTTTTTCCTTTGAAAAATGAGGAGAGAGATTTTTTGAAATCTCTTTGGGCTTCTATAGAGAAAATATTGTTTATACTCATAAGAAATGCTCAGTCTTCTATTTTATACTCTCAGAACCTCAGGGTATGAAGAGACATGTACTATAACAATCCACAACAGTCATACAACATAGATCAGGCACCACCCACACTTTCTATAAGGAATTTGATACAAAGATTTGAACTACCTGTAAATTATCTATACTGCTCATATAAAAAATACTTAGAGAAGAATGGATAAATACAGACTGGAATATCCATACAATGAAATACTATACAACAATGGAAATGAAGAAACCAATGATGTGTAATAAATGGATGAATCTAACAGGCTTAAGGTTGAGTGACCACATCAGACACAAGTGCACATCCTATGATTTCATTTGTATAAAATATAAAACCAAGCATAACTAATCATGGTGTTAGAAGTCAGCATAGTAGCCAAAACCGGTTTGGCTCAGTGGATAGAGCGTCGACTTGTGGACTGAAAAGTCCCAGGTTCGATTCTGGCCAAGGGCATGTACCATGGTTGTGGGCACATCCCCAGTAGGGGGTGTGCAAAAAGCAGCTGATCGGTGATTCTCTCACATCGATGTTTCTAACTCTCTATCCCTCTCTCTTCCTCTCTGCAAAAAAATCAATAAAATATATTTAAAAAAAGAAAAAGAACTTTGGAGGGGGTAAAGACTGGGAGGGATTACAGTAAGTGTTCTGGAGTAGTAGTAAAGTTCTATTTTTTTAATATGGGTACTGCTTACATAGGTGGGTTCACCTTGTATTAATTTGTCAAGCAGTTGCAGCTATGATTTGTGCACTTTTCTACAGGTATGTATACTTCAATTAAAAGTCAATTAAAAAATAACATACAAGGTTCCCTGCTAGTTTATGTGGTACCTTTATGCAGATTTTTCTAAATGCCCCCTCTGGGTGGATGAGTTAGAAAAAGATACCCCATAGGCAAAGGTAGCCCACAAGCTTGGGTCATGGCAAGTGGAGAGCAGACTGGATTTTATCCACACTGATGCATTTGGCTAGACACAAAAGCACACATCTGGATGAACATCTGCAAATCTGAAAAACACTCATTTGGTCCGTCCTCACAACGGCTTTATGAAAGGACATGGCAGATGTCCTTATTTTACAGATGTGGAAGTGACAAAGAGCAATAAGACTGATGCATGAAGGTGTCGCAGCTAATAAGCAATGGAGTCAGGATGGATTTCTAGGCCAGTAGTTCTTCACATGGTTCTGATTCCTTTTTGGGAGGGAGGACAGGAAGGAACTCTCTATGTTACTGTGTATATTGTTATGGGTCATCTCAAATGTTTTGTAGAATAAGGCAGGGGATAAATACGTGGTCCCATATTCTTAATATTGAGCTTTTGTGAAGGTCCTTGGTGCTAAGCCCATTTGAAAACTATTCTCTACGCAGAGACTCAGAAGTAAACATTCATCTTTTGGATGTTTATCTATGCAAAAAGATCAGGAGAATAGAAAATGTTACATGTCAACAGAGCATCCTGGCTCTCCCACAGCTTATTGACTTAAGGATATAAATCTTCCCTTGTCTTAAAAAAATTAAAGAGTAAGACACACACATACTGTTTATGTCCAGCTTACCCAGAAGTGTCTGCTTATTTTGGGAGGAGTCAGGCTCTGCAGAACATCTGCAAGATCGAAGAACAATCACTCCTCCAAGCACACCATCTTCACTGGCCAGGAAAGGTGAACCTAGGCAGAAATGACTAGTGATCACTTCTCAGTCAATTTTACTATTTTCAATGATTACTACAACAAAAATGTGCTATAAATAAGATCTTGAATGATGCCCATTTCCTGACAATCACCATTGTTCCTGCCTTGTATAGGCTTGATAGCAAAGGCAGGCTGATGACTGAACAGGGGTCATTTGGCAAAGACAGTGCCAGATGCTGCCAAGAAGACTTGAGTGGGGGTGGAGTATGCATTATTGTATTCAGAATGGAACTGGAAACACTACCAGATTAAAGGACCAAATACAAATACAGGGGGGAAAAAATGCTCAGCAATTCCCTTTGATCAGCTTTTAGGGATCACTTCCCAGGCTCTCCCTGCTGTCAGGGGCATGCCACCAAAAGCTTTGATTTAGTACCTTAAGTTCAATTTTAAACAATAAGCCACAAATTTTATTACATACATGTTAAAACACCCCCAAAGGTTTACACAAACAAGGGTGAAACTACATTTCTATGAGAGTCCAGTGGTTGGAAATGACTGGCCTCTGGGATCTCACACACTGAGCCGCTGTGAGCATTTTAAGAACACGACATTTTAGGACCCCTCTTGCTTCTTCCCCAAGGACATCTTCCTCAAACATCTGGCATAGCAAGTGAGCATGTGAACCTATATGCTAGCAAAGAAATTAGTAAAAATAAAAGCCTACCAAACTGGATTTGGGTGAGCTCTGGTTAAACTTAGTAGATGAAACACATGTGTTTATCTCCACTCTTTTCTCAAATCCCAGTAAGCTAAGGGGAAAATAAAATAAAAGGGAAGGCCCAATAAGGAAGGAGAAAAAGACATGGGGGCGGGGGGAGGTGACCTGAAAGAAAATGGGCAAAGGAGACCTATGAAAGCTGAACCCTAAGCTTCCAAGGAGTTGGGTGGGTGGAGGAGAGGTTGGTGGAGTGAGGGGACTCCTATAGGAAATCACTCAGTTTTGTCAAAAAAACCAAAGAGCACCAGAAGTTGGAGGCTTCAAGTTCTTCTGAAGGCAGGAGTATGGGATAGGTTGTAATGAAGATGGTTGGCTGTGTCCAAAATAATCCTGGTTTCCTTACAGCTGGTCCAAGTTCAAATGTCTCTACCTCTTCCCTCTCCAATGGCTCAGCACTCTAAGCTATGTCAAACCCTGCCTCTGCCCCTCGCTTCCTCTGAAAAGCCTCTCAGCGCACCCTGTACTACCCACACTGCAGCAGGCTCTGGTCTGGCCTCCTGCCCCACTCATTCAGATCTCTAAATTGATTAATTCAATAAATATGTATTTTGTGCTAGAACTTTTCTAGGTATTGATGATACAGCAGTGAACCAAATGAAATCACTGCTCACATCCAGTTGAGCAGGTTGGGGGACAATAAACTCAAGTCAATAAAGAAACCCAATTAGACAGTAGTAAGTAGTAAATGAAAAAAAAAAAAAAAATGATACCCAGTAAATGACAGAGGGTGTGACTGGGCCAGGGACCACTGTACATCAAGGGGCAGGGAAGGCATCTTTTGGGAAGGAGCTAATAATCATGTGAATGTCTGGGGAAAGAGCATTCTAGGCAGATCAACCAAACAAATGCACAGACTCTGAGGTGGGAAGGAGCTTGGGTTCAGAAAACAGAGGAGGCCAGAGGGGCAAGAGCCAAGTGGGAGAGGGGAAGAGATGGTAAACCATGTGTTCAGAGAGACAAGAGTTTGGATTTTACTTCAAGTGTGATGAAAAGATGATGCAGGACTTTAACCAGGACAATTATAGTTTTTACTTGCATGGGACTGGTTGGCAGGGCAAGAAAGAAAGCAGCAAGCCACCAAAGAAGCTGCCATGGCAACCCAGCTGAGAGATGACAGGGACTTGGGTGAGCTAGTGGCAGTGGAGCAGAGTGGTAAGCCCACAATTTATTCTGTAAGTAGAACCAATGGGGCTGTTTATGTGAGGGGCATAGGAAACAGAGATATCAAAGTTTACTCAAAAAAGAAATATGTGTCCAAGCTATAATCACATTACCAAACCATTCAAATACCATCAATGGTTCCCAACTGCCCAAAGAAGAATGTTGAAACTGCTAACCCTTACCTAACCCTTCTCTCCCTTCCCAACCTTCTCTATTTATTTTTACACATGATATGCTCTAGCCAAATTTGGACTTTTTGAATCTCATTTGCCCAAGGTCTATGGTTATGAATTATCCTTCCAGGCTCCCTTTCCTTCCATTAACTGAATCTGTTCTTCAGCTCACTGTCTTTATACAGACCCAGGATCTGTGGGGTGAGGATATCTGATTCACCTTTCAAACCCTCTTAATGACTAACAAAGTGCTTTCACTCATGCACCACTTTCCCTATCCCCATTCTCCTCAAAACAAACACACTCACTCCTGACTTGTGTGGTGTGTGGCCTGAGGACGATAAGTCACTAGGGAAGCTTAATATCAGGGTTCCTCATCCTTGGTATCAATTCATTTGATAGTTTAATGAAACAAGAATTAGAGATATTGAAAGATTCCAAATTTTTCATGGGAAGTACTTAGATTTCATATTATCACTATGATGTTAAAAAAAAAAAATGCTGACTCAGACAGAAGACTTTTTTAAGTTCCAGGGTCACAATTGTGTTCTTCAGCAAGATATATTTAAAAACAATCTATGCTTCAGCTTCTTTAATTAAAAGACATCTTTCTGGGCTGTTATGAGGATTTGACTTTATATATGTGAACTTTGTATCCTCTAAGGTACTAAACATTTGGTGGTAGCAATGCTGATGGTAGGAAGACACTTTATAGCATTTTGCTGGTTCTCAAGGATTATCATGTTGAACAAAATCTATTAAGGTACCTACCTTGATAACCTACAACAGCTGGAACCAGTGCTCAGCTGACATTCAGCAATTAGGAGGGGTGGTGATAGGGTATCAATTTCCCAGTTAAAATGTTAAGTAGTCTCTGTCTAAACTATTTCTTATTGTTCCCGGTAAGAAAAAAAAAATTAACATGGAGTGACATGTTGGGCAAGGTGGTAGATGCTTTCTATACCCATACAGAAAACTGGTGTCTGCTCTGGCTGGTGTTTCTCAGTGGACAGAATATCAGTCTTCCCACCCAAGGTTCATGGGTTCAATTTCCAGACAAGGGCAGGTAACTGGGTTGCAGGTTCAATCCCTGGCCTTAGTCGGGATACATACAGGAGGCAATCAATTGATGTCTCTCATATTGATGTGGTTTTTTTTTTTCCCTCTCTCTCTCCCCTCTCTCTAAAAATTAATGGAAAAATATTAATACATATGCAAGGAGTTGCTTAAAATAAGTGAAAAAGATTAAAGAAATGATAATAATTAAGCCTCCTTCACCCTAATAAAATGTCTCAAATAGATTATTTAAATGCCTCAGTCTATAATTACTCTGGAATAAAATTATAATTACAGATGGTAAGAAACACATTCACTGTGAGCAAATGTGTACAATCTAGACATTCATTTAGATTGTAAACTCAGACTATAAACAAATGAGACAACTACTTACTGTATTTTGTGCCAAGATCTTTAAGGATGAAGAATTTGAAAAAATGAAAAGCGGAATCACTCTAAGTATTAAAATAAATAAGTCCACGGGAATATTAATCAATATTGTTTTGATTGCTAGTGTGAGAATTGCAATTAGAAGAATTTTAAGTAAAAATAATGATTGCTGGCTCATAAAATCCAAAAGAAAAAAAAAAATCCAAACTTTTGGAAGGGTAAGGATGTGATGGTTTTCAAGATCAGCCAAAAATAGCTTCCTCTACTAGGGATGGCATTGCCCATCACAGCCCAGAGTGTATACCTGACTTTAATCCACCAGAGAGATTTCCTCTCTTTATCAGATTTATTGTTCTTGGGGCCATCAATCAGACTCAGAAAGATAGGGAACCAGACTGGCCTGGTTTTGGTCAGGAAGCAAGCCTAGAACAATCAATTGTGATCAAGAGGCCATGGGGTGGGGTTACAGAAAGACAGACAGACAAATTCCCAGATAAACACAAAACACAAATGGAGACAACACTGGGGTATGGAGCCAGGCACTCAGGATCCTACTTGAGCTTAGACAATCCCTTCACCTCTCTGTGCCTTGCATTAGTCCCTCATTTGAAAAATCAGGAGACTAGATTAATAGTCCTTGGTATTTCCACTAGTTCGAACAGGAATAGTCCTAGGCGTACTGTCAGCTTTAGAGACTCATACCTACCCATAAGCAGCAACCAGCCATTACCTGATGCCAGCAAGCACCTTTTGCAAAACCTGATACAACACTCCCTCTTCAACATGTGAGAACTTATCAAGAGAGTGAGTCTGTAGTTGGACAGCAGCTGCTAGTATTCTATCTTCCAATCACATTGAACAAAGGACCTCTGTCTTTTAAACATATTTCTGGGGATTTCTTCTTTTTAATGTCTATGTGCCAATTCACTTGAATGCCATTTTCTCTTGGAGGAATTACACATACTTTGGGAAAAATAAATATACCAATACCCACAGAGACAGATGGTTGGGTGGTCAGGTGAGCAAGAAAATGAACAACTGGGGAATAATGAATGTTTTCTAATGAAAACACAAACCTCTAACTCCAAAAGAATGATAAAGATTACAAATATTCTTTAAACACAGAAGCAGGGTAACAATTTATACTTCCTGAAGGACCAAGAACCTCTCCTCTAAAAATGCCTTTGTTAGTTTACATGTCTTTTATAGACATGAAGTATGAGCACAGTGATGTGGAGACCTTGAGAGGAGCCCTTTACTTACTAAGTTCAAAGCATTGGCTCCTTCTTAAAGTGCCACCATATTCAGCCCTGGAAGAAAAATCTACAGATTGCTGCCATTATCCTATTAGACTTGTATAAACTTACCTGCATTCTATCATTTCCTGCCCTCATACAAATCCCAATGGGATGATTATTACTAGGTTCATTTGATAGGTGAGAAACCAAAGGAAGAGAAGAAGGAAGCTGAGGCAC